GTGAGTCGCGTAGTTTCCGTAGTTTGCACTGCGTTCGGTTTCATATAAAAGTTCGGTTTGTTTCAATTAGTCGTCTGCCGACTCACGGGCGTAATAACGACTGGGTAAGGAGGTAGGGGTGAGGGAAAGGATCACTTTGGTATAGGATGCGCGTGAGTATACACGTTTCTTGCGAAAATGTTCGACACAGAGATTAAAATATAAATAATTGAACAACTTCCTTGATTATTATTATTTACTTTCCTCTGGACTGATGGTTTGTCTCATATTTGTATTTGACGTAGTAATAAAAGGTTTTAGTAGGCTTAATAATTTTTGAAAAACATTTATTGGCATGTGGTAGCACTTAACAAATTGATCTGAATGTTCACATAAACTTGTATATATAATATTTGAAACTGCCCTCACTTTAATCGTTTCGTATTGAGTGGATGTACCGAGCTTCCTTTTTTTTCTAGCATCGTCTTCTAATGCTAAATCCATACTATTTTTAATGGATCCATTACACTATTACGATACAAACACCCCGTATAAACGCCTAAAAACAACTGAATAAAATACTTTCCCCTGGCGCTCCAACCGAATTCCGGTCGAGCGCAAATTGCGCAACTCACAAAATTACGCTCGTCTGGCCTCACCCTTAATTGAGATCCACGGCCATTTGCATGATATAAAAGACTTCCAGGCTATTATGCAGCGCTGTCTAGTTAATAAAAGATGGAATTTTGACCTTTTTCAAAGTTATGATCTGTACTACAGAGAGTAGTAGTCTTCTTGAGTTGTTGGTGCATGGTGCTGGTGAAATGACACATGGGACTCGTCAACTTATATCTCAGAGTGACACATGCTTATCCATGACAGTTGCAGTGTCATTCAGAGCTTATTAATTAGATTAGGTCTTTTTAACCGACTTCAAAAAGGAGGAGGTTTACAATTCGACTGTATGTTTTTTTTTGTACGTATGTTACGCGATAACTCCGGTATTTGTGAACCGATTTTCATGATTCTCTTTTTGTTGGAAAGGGGGTACTTCCATAGCGGTCCCATTTCATTTTGAAGAAAATCATCCACCTCGAAGGGTGGCTGTTCACACATGAAGATTCATTTTCATAAATAGCGCCTAACTTTAATTTAGGAGCAATTACTTTAATGGTTGATTTTGCTATTTCTCCAATTCAAGGCGTTTTTCTCTCGATATACTTTGAGAGTAGTGAGAACCGATTTTCATTATCTCCAGTGTCAAGTCCTGTATAGTGGCGAACTAGGTGATATTTCAATAAAACTTGGCAAAATATTTTTGAGGTCGGTTTTTTTAGTAATCTGTATTGAGATTATATTAATTTATAGTTATTATTTATTTTGTACTTAGGTCTTATTATGAAAGATCCTATATTTTATTACCTAAGATAAAATTAACGTTACACCGAAAACAATAAAGTTGCTATCAGATACAAAGCTTTATTTATCAATTTTTTATTTTAGTGTTATTAAAGAGTTAACTCGTACTTATTTGTTTGTCTTATTATCAGTGTCTGTGTTGTCATCTTTTTTTCATTAAATAAAAGAAAAAAGATCGAATATTTAGAAAAAATTCCTTCGATCCGGTCGGATTCGAACCGACGTCTTCTAGCAAACTATGCCAGACGCCATGTCAACTAAGTTACGGAACGAACCAGCAGACCTCATGAATTTTTCTATGTGCTTGTTTGTCAAATCTTTGTATTTAGTTTTCAACGACTTTTTAGCTGTAGCGCCATCTATGAGAAATCTATGAAAGTATTTTGACACCCAGTTAGGTAACATTATAGCTTTCAGTAGCAATAGACCTCCTTGTGAAAGAATTCGCCATGGGAAGTACTGCCACCTTTTTTTTTTTGACGGGGGGAAATCTTTATGGATTACCAGGGAGACTCAGGAGTTATGTGGGGACTCTCCCTCCAGACTGGAGGGCCTACCCCACTAAAACCCCCCCGGGTTTCCCTCTCGCCGGTTGAGTCGGCGCCGTGGGATCAGTGAACATTCACCACGACGCCGCCCGGCTGCCCTAGCTTACGCCAGGGCTCCCGTGCCAACGAAGGGGCGAGTCGGTTGTCCTCCGACCCGCCCCCCAGCCGAGTGAGGCCGTGCAATGTAGGCTCCGGAGTCCCTGTCCAGAGCCAGCTGGTCACACTAGGGGATCAGGCGAGCAGCGAACTGCCTTCGCCTTCTCCCCGTACGTCTGCGCCGGATCGGGTGTAAGTACTGCCACCTTGCCTATTTCTGCTGACAAGAAGTAATGTGAGCATTACTGCGTTCCGGTCGTCGGAAGGGTAAGGATGGTGGTGAAATTACAGGCACATGGGACTTGTCAACTTATGTCTGTCACCCGTTCCTTTCGAAATTGGAATAGAGTAATGTCTGCTTGGCGGCTGAAATTGCTAGAGTGGAAGTACTTCCTTAGACGAGCTCTTTCACAAGGAGCTATTACAGTATACAGCATCTAAAATTGAAATTAACCAATGAAATACAATGTTGTAATAACATACAGCATTTTTTTTATAACATCAAGTGGCGGGACGAACAAGTCGTCCGCCTGATGGTAAGCCACAAGCCTGTCCATAACAGTTGCAGTGGCACTCAGAGCTTTAAATTACAAAGATCTGAGGGGCATTACCAATGCGCCCGTCACCTTGAGACATACGTTGATAAGTCCCATGTGCCTGTAATTTCACCAGCACCCTTACCCTTCAAAATCGGAACACAGTAATGCTGATATTACTGCTTGGCAGCAGAAATAGGTAAGGTGGCAGTACTTCCCTGGGCGAACTCTTTCACAAAGAGCTATCAAATTACATAATATCCTTTAAAAAATAATTTTGAAGGATGTTAAGTTCAATTGCTTGCACGTGTAACGAACTGCTAGGTGTTTTTTATATGAAATATGTATGTCAATGTCTCTGGCCAAAGTCAGGTCATTATATGACTACATGTGTCTATTCTCTGGGCATGTTGTCCTAGGTTAGCTCAGCTACTAGACGAAAGAAATATTTTTGCTACTTAACTTTATTTGACAATCGTGTGGTCACCATGTGGTGCCTCACGTGTCATGAAACAAAATTTACTTGAGCTTTCCGAAAAAAATGCAAAGAAATATTTTTTTAAATTAGCAAATATCTATAAGTCTTTTGAACCTGATAGTAAATTGTAGGCCGACAGCATATTGAGAACTGTTACAATTGCAACACTTGTAGTAAATATCTTTTTTAGAAAAGAGGCTTATAGGTGACTCGGAATTAGTGGAGGCGAAGCTGCAGAGCCTTGAACACCGCCGTAAAGTTGCCTGCTTATCGGTATTTTACAGGATATATCACGGAGAGTCTGCGATGGAATTACACGATTTAATTCCGCCTTCCCCTTTCCATCACCGGGGGACTAGGCGTGGGCTTGGGTTCCACCCCTATGTTGTGGATATTCCAAAGATTCGCACGAAGCGTTACGCTTGCACATTTATGCAGATTTGTTCCCTGAACGTTATAACTTGGGTCTTTTCAAGGTGAGAGTGAATAGGCATTATTTAGATATGCATGCTCCATCGTCGACCTCATCGTCATTTTCCATCAGGTGCTATGAAGGTCAAATGCGCACTTATATTTTATAAAAAAAAAGAAAAAAAATTGTACAACTTTAATCATTCTTTAGAATTAGTCGATATTTGAAAAGAATGTCTGTTGTCGTTACAAATCTGGAAAGCTCTTTGGGAAAGGTTCTCGAGAATACTCGACTAGATATCTTTTGAACCGCTCTTAGTTTAGAGCCGTAACAAATACAATGATAAATTTTCTGACAGTAACTAGGGGAGAGCGGGGCTGAACGTTCCGATTTTCAAATAACTTGCAATTTTATACTGAAAATGAAGGGTTTGATTTTCTACATGTGGAAATGTTGAACAAATGTTAAGCGCTTTTTGTAATAGTATAGTCACTTCTACTAATATCTCAATAGTCTTTTTCATAGAGGCAAATTTTTGACAAATTTCGGAGCGGAACATTCAGCCCCGCTTTGGGGCGCGTTGTTCCGCCTTTGAGGCAAATTGTTCCGCCTAGATTATGACAGGATAACAAAGATTTTCTTAAATAAAACCACCTATTTTATAATTGTACGTATGTAATGTATATATTATGCACAACGAACTTAAAAAAATACAACTACATTCTTATTCATCAGTAATATTATTCATCGCTCATTTCTTCAACTGAATCACAGTTGAGACACACATAAGTGACTCTATCATCTTGCCTAAATATTTGACATGAGCCTGTTTGTAGTTTGGCATCCTTAAAACAAAGAAAAATGGTCATAAAAATTTTAAGTATGATTGCAGGTCAATTGGGGAAGTTGTTCCTAGGAACAACCAGCCCCTCGAGAGAGGAACTACAGCCCCAAATTACGTTTTTATACGAAAACTGACATACCGGCAAAGTAATAGACTCAATCAAAAAAATACTCAAACAATAACTTACTAATGTTAATACAATTTAGAAAAGTTACGTATGAATCGACGGATATTTTGACAGCTCCACGCACATCGTCGCCGGAGTTACTGAAATGGCTGCCGGCAAGACGCATCACCTGACGCTTTAACGATGCGCTACACATGTATTGCTACATATTTTCCTTGCAAAGCTATTGCTGTGAGAACAACTTACCCCGGGACTACCAGCCCCGGTCTCCATTACTCTATCTCTTAGATTAACTAGGCTTTTGTCGGAGTATCGAACAACCGCTTTGTTATCTGAAAAGAGTCAACTTTGACTTCTTTATACTACGTGCTTTTTACTTTCCTTTTGGTTCAATCGAAGTAACTTATTCACGGTTGTGGTCGTCCACGTTTCCCTACGATAAAGTTTGTAAGAACCGTACTTAAGAAAAAGGGAAAATTTAGCAGAAATTTTATAAACTAGCAACACTGTAGCTAACCGAAATCGTGTATTTCTTCGACAGTACCATTGGTGTAAAAGTCAAAAGTAACTTAACACACAAACGTAGTGACCGGTTGCAATATTTAAAAAACATTTTTTTTTTTAAATAAATAATCGAAATGACAGGTGAGTTTTCTATTGGATTTGATTTTTAACAGTGACTTTACTTATAATTGTGTATAAGGTGTGTAATATTTCCATTTTTACGTATCAATGTTTGTATTTATATCTAGCTATGTTGTCAAAGCTATACAAAAGGGCAAGGTTTTTTACAATTTTTTTCGAAAATTAGTCTTGAGTAATAACAAGTTCCTGAAAATAAACAGAGTACGCGTACAATATTAGTCATATAATAACTGCCACCGTGGCCGAACGGTTACCATACCGGACTGCCACGCAGAGGTCCCAGGTTCGATTCCCGGGTCGGGAGAAATATTTGTATGGCCTATATTTATTTCTCTCGTGAGTTTGGGTGTAATTTATGGTTGTATGTGTGTACATGGCACCCGCGACCAAGAGTTTCCCTGTTGCGGGGCTACATTGAGTATGTGCGTTATTAAAGAGAAATTCAGCAAAAAATAAGCGCTTTTTCAAATATTAATTTCCGATTCGTTATCAACATCCACCCATTTTATACGTCTTACTGGTGGGCATATTCCACCACGCTGGCCCAATGCGGGTTGGGGACTTTTTCATCAAAAAGCTCACGGTAAATTTCGAATTAAGTTTTGCACATAAATTCCGAGTAACTCAGAGATGCGAGGCTGGATTCGAACCCACACTGCTGGAGAAGCAGTATGTCAAACCATTACTCTACCACAGCTTTCGATTTAGACTTGAAGAATATAGTAAACAAGAAGAACTTCGTTGGCTAAAAAGTCTTTGAAAAAAACAAATACTGCTGGTTCATTCCGTGGCTTAGTTGGTATAGCGTCTGGCACGGTACGCAAGAGGACGTCGTTTCGAATCCGACCGGATCGAAGGATTTTTTTCTGAGTGTTCGATCTTTGTATTAATAATTATAACCAACTAGTGGAGTAATTTGACATAAAAAATAATTGAATATCAATTCATTAAAAATTTAAACTAACTAAATTTAAAAAATATGTACGAGAAGATTCCCAAAGTACAATCTCAAGTAGAAGTTAAGTATCATATAATTCGACACTTTAGAGTAGAAAGAGCGTAAAAGTCTAATTACAACGGCCCACCTTAGTTTTAAGCTGTTTAAGTTATACTGTGTTTGTTCTTGTTTGTGAGCATTAGAGTGTATATCTATCTATAATATAATCTACTAAAAACAGGAAAGAAATAACGCTATATGAACTGTATGCCATCTCTTTCTTTTTTGTTATTCCGAATCGTGCTATCGTAGTATAATGTTAAAGTACTTAACATTATTTACATTCGGAGAATTTTAACTGCCAAAACAAGAAAAGTATGTAATAATGAAATCTGTTAAAATTACGTTGTTTTTAATTATTTTTCCGCATTTTTATGAAGAAAACTAAATAAAACAAGCTGAGTCTTGATTGTCACGTTGTGAATTCGGAATTATAGTCTAGTGTCAACTGATAGTTTCGCCAAGGATATAGATGCCGCTGTCATAATTCTATGAAATAAACATCTCGTTTTTTTATTTACCGAGAAATTATTTCCTTTGTACTATTAAATAAAAAATAAATGAAATATTGAAGAGATATAAGTTCATCTTAACTTTTAATCATTACAAATCAATATTAAGACAATTGAGCTGAAAATAATATTATTTTATTGCATCCGTGTAACTATTTTAAGATTTCTAAATTTAATATTAAAGTCGCATCATAGTACGAACTGAGTGAATGAATAGTCACAAAGCTGCCAATAAAACATCATAGTTTTAACATTATAGTAAGCTTACTCTAAGCGCGTCATGGTACAAAAAGTCAATATAAGGTTAAAGTAGGTAATATTGTTTTAAGAAGTTTCGGTAGGCCCCCTGGACTATATACTATTAACATCATAAACAACAACTTTAGTTCCATGACAAAACAAAACAATAAATTTCCCAAAATTAACCTTTTAGTCTTTGTTATACTATATGCATTGACTTACAAATAAATGGACGACGGGTCTAATACAAAAACCACGAAAAAAATGTCCCAAGTCAACCTATTTAAACGTAGTGACATGTAAAGGAATATGAAAAAGATAAAACGTTGAATTTAAATTGTAATGTCATCGCAGTACTGTCTAATTCTGCTTGCTTCGCTGTCAGTCGAACAAACGAAGACTAAAACGTGAATGATGCTCTGTATACGATTTTAACGCTCTATAAGTTCGGACACTTTTTAGCGCGGACCTGACGTCCTTATAATTGTAAGACTATATGACACTTTTTAGATCTGTGTCCGACGACGATTCACAATTCACAAGCGCAGGCCACGCCGCGAGCGTAGCTAGGCTAAGGTTGTTTAGCTCACATCTGCAAGCAACCAACTATGCGACTTGGCTCGGTTGGCTTAGTTCGCGGTGTGAACAGATATATGGAAACATGCCGCGGCTATATGAGCTAAAGCTAACTTAGCTCCGCTCGCGGTGTGGCCTGCGCTACACTCGCGCTCCTGCGTTTTGTACAGAGCTATCTACGCGCCTGACGGTTATCAACACGCCTGTCCACAGCAGTTGCAGTGCTACTCAGAGCTTTAAAATACTAAGATCTGATTTGAGGTTGTTTTTCGTTCACAAATTAATACGAATTTCAGGAAAAACTGTTAACCCGCCATCATACGATGGCCCACCGCAGCCTTACCAGCAACATCAACAAGGGCCAGTGATTGTGGTCCAGGGTGCTGCACAGACAAACGTAGTTGGTCAAGCCGTGGGTCCGAAACCTGCAACTTTGACTTGTCCGTCTTGCGGAGAAAGCATTGTAACCAGAGTTAAACATATGCCCACAACAAAAACTCACTTGGTAGCATTCGGAATGTGTGTCTTCTGGTAAGTTAACTAAATTTACATTGTGACATTGTGCAGTCGACGCTCCAAGATACTTGATCCTCTAGCCGACTTTTTGGTTTCAAGAGCCTTGACAGAAAATTGTAAAGAAATTACAAACTAAAAAATTTATATTGAAAAAAATGTTGGAAGTTACTATTTTGCTAATTTTTGGGTCATATTCTAGAACTCTACTCAATGCTCAAGTCAGGACTTGAGTATGATTCAAAGCACTAGAAATCATACTCAAGTCCTTGCGATTAAGGTCGTATTTCCAGTGCTTGAAATCATACTCAAGTCTGCTCAAATCCTGACTTGAGCATTGAGTAGAGTTCTGGAATACGATCCTCAGTGTCGTTTGTAACTTTTTGTTCAATGGAGATTTGCTTCGATCGTGCTATCAAACTGTATATGTTAAATATACAGTTTTGTAGGACTATGTTTAGTTCACCAACCCTTAACTGACGACCGTGTATGAAAACATTGATGCGAAAATCTAATGTAAGTAGATGGGTAGTTCGTAGACTGTCCTGCTGTTGCACAACCAGATCTTGATTACTATATCATTGTTATATTATCCGATTTTCATAGTATACCAAATTATATATCTTCTACATTAGTTTTGATAATAGGGACCAACCCTATCGACGCTTAGGGTATACGAGAATGTCACTATAAGCTGTGCGCGCACAGGAACTTTATAAGTTCAGGTTCTGACCCCAGATCAGCCAGTGTACAGGGTTGTTACAGACCTCTGTCACTTGACATCATCCGGTTCTCGAGAGGCTAGTGCCTCAGATGAGCTGCCCCGGGTGCACGTACAGTATCCTCTCTATTTTATATATAGTCCAGATAGGTCCCGGAGCTGTAGGCACGCTGACTTCCGTTGTGCAATGCACAATTAGCGATTGCCACCGCTAAGCCTTCGACTATGAGTGAAGTTGATAGAACAGTGGAAATAATAGTTATTTTTGATACAAGTGCGGACAGTTAGTCACTATTCACGAGTCTCGAGGCATCTCGAGACAAGTGAAAATGACAAATCCGCATGTGTATCAAACAACTTTTTTAATACATTTGCGAAAAACCTACATTGAAAGTAAAATAAAACAGTATTTAAAAACAACCTCATTTTATTCCTTTGTCAATAACAAAATCAAATCGTAAAAAAGTTAATGAAAAAGGCGGGAATGTAAACGATGAAAAAAATTAGTACTTTTTTTGGCCGACTTTTTTCAATATGGCAACTGTTGCCAGTATTCAGCCACATTAAAATTACTATTTTATATTACTTTATTTTCTACATAATCGCTACTAAGGAGCATTTACTTCATAGGTGTAAAAATGCGGTCTCTCCATAGATATAGTATAGTAATGACGAATGACTTACGTCACAAAGCACATAAATATGAAATAAATATACAATCTCTTTAGTTCTATGTTTAAGACTTAAAACAACAGTAAATTAAAAAAAAAACTGGAAAAGTAAAAAGCACTAGTGCTAGAAATCCAACTTTCCGCACGATTTGTAGTGCGAAAAATACCACGTTTTGAGCAACTGTATTAAAAAATAAATGTTCATTTTATGACTGGAATTCCTATATTAATTGAGAACAGCTGTGATGACGATAAAGTTGTCATGTTGCTGTTTGTCAGCTGAATAGATATTCACCAAACATAGCTAAGTTTCATCTTCGTTAAATAAAAATAAATTAGTCCATCCGTGTAGTAGCTACGATGCTAAGGAGACACATACGGACACACAAATACACGTGACATTACAGGCACATCTAGTCAACTTATGTGTCAGGACGACAGGCGTAGTTGCAGTTCCCCTCAGACCTTTGCGATAAAAAAGCTCTGAGTGATATTGCAACTGCAATGGACACGCGTGTTGTTTACTACCAAGGGCATGACTTGTTTATGTCGTCACTTGATATTTAAAATAATAAAAGTTGTCTATTTAAATTATGAGAATGCCGTGGTAAGAAGTAACCCTGTAGGAAAGCGTATAATAATTTATCTCCTATTTCAGTTGCTGGTGCTGCCTTTGCATCCCATATTGCACGGATTCCTGCCAGAATGCAGACCACTACTGCCCTAATTGTGACGCGTTCATCGGAGTATATACCTCTTAGCTTGTTTTCATTTTGACAAGCATTTTATGCCCTACCTGCATTGACTTACAATTATACCTACCTGTCTATTACTTTCAGAAATCAAATTTGTCAGTGTTAAAGATATGTTATTTATTTATTTATTCTTAGGAAGGTTTACAGCATTCTTTAATATTAATTTATAAACTAAATGTAAACTTATAAGCCTATTAAAAACCTCCACATATGACAATCTATATACAAAACATATGTTAACACTAATTGCTAATCCTACATACGCATATGCATATACACTTTAGTTAATTTAGTTTAAGTCCAATAATAATATTAACGACATAAATATATACATATCCAACTATACTATTTAATACATACATATATTCCACATAATAAGATTTATATTATTATACCTACTTATAATTTGAGCATACCCACCCACCATATCTAAAATATTTACTAGTTATTGCCTTTTAAAATAATTCAAACCCACAGTTCTCTTTACAGACGCAGTGCTAGACGCAAATAAATCAAAGTCATTATCGGTGCTATACTTGTTAAAGGTTTTACAGCTACGTATCATGAATGTATTTTGCCTGTAATTTGTGCGGACATTCGGTAAGTGAAGCAGAGGGCGCTGCCGCAAAGCCAGTGCGTTAGCACAAAGACCAATCATGGACAGCAATTCCGGACAGTCAATTTAGTCACTACTCACATTGCGTTGACGCATATAAATTATACATGCCACATGGTGCGTATTCGGGCCAGGAGACGAAGCAGGGAGGTGTGCTGCGGTGCGTACGTAAGCGAGATGTTACTTTCCGATACCGCATTGCTCGTGTGGTACCCGGTGCGCGGAAATCATGGCGCCACGACGCGCAACGGACCGGCATCGGCAGCGCCCTTGTGGCATCACTCTTACTTGTGAATTCAAAACTCAGGATGTAGGTATTGATTTCAATGTAAATTTTTGCGTTGCATTATACGAGTAATAAATAACATTTGATGTATCTGGGTGTTAAGTAGGTATGTAATTTTATCGCGTTCATTTTCGCTTGTAATATCGTCATTGAAAATGTTAAGACTAAGTCCAATGCGAAATTTGTCTTCTCTGTATCATTAGAGACTAGGACTGGCATTCTTTCGTGGTTGCTAAAGAAAATATGCCTGGATCGTAACAAGTGGAGATAGCTTTCTTGCTCCGAAGCACGCGTGTTGGTCTCCGTAGTTACCGGTTTACAATCTGCTGTACTCCAACCTGAACTAAAAGTTTTGGTGCTTTTTCTTTGACGTACAGTCCACAAATGGAACTCCCTTCCACTGCACGTATATATTCCTTCTTACGATATGGGATCTTTCAAACAAGTCGTGAAGAGGCATCTTGTGGGCATGCAGGGTGAAGGTGGCTAGGATAGTGAATGTATAACACTACACTAGGTTCCTTAACGTTTTGATTCCACTTTCTATTTAACATCTGGTGCAGTGGAATCACCTGCCTGTGACGTATAAAAAAAAGCTGGTCAATTACCACTCCAATGAGAGGCGAATGTATTCATAATGATCTCAATAGCGATACCAATAGTGCCTTTGCCAACTGCCTTGTCATTTCAGTCTTAAATGAGTTAGAGCGGTTACACACGCCCACGATTTTAAGCAGCGATGCAAGCGCGCGACTGCATCGATACAAACGCGCAATGCATTGCTACAATTGGGATTTATAGGCGATTGCAACGATGCCATTGCGCGTTTGTATCAATGCAGTCGCGCGTTTGCGTCGATACAATCGCCTATAAATCGCAAGTGTAGCGATGAAATCGCGCGTTTAGTTCTTAGACAATCTTGTTCAGCTTTTTAAGGGATCATTCTCCTTTGGTAGTCATAACCCAAACGAAAAAGTTTTATACTCGCTCGTGATGTTAAATCCAAAATACATTACCCTAGAATATTTGCATTTTGTTAGCTATTATCAAGGTGGCGATGTATGTGGACATACGCGCCGCTAGATAATATATCAGCAAACATATAGCTCCGTCGTGTTTGCTTTAAAATGACATTTTTTGAGCAGGTATCATTACTAACATTAGTTAAAATAGCTACAATTCGTATTCTACCAATAAAACCAAGTGTGAAAGAAAAGTGTTTTATCACATGAAAGTAGTAGAAGTAGTTTGACCGACGTGAAACAAAATTTTGTTACTCTTCTATTTAAGAGTCGGTACTACCTTAGTTCGATCTCAAACTTTTCCCGTACTAATAAGGTTCATTTTGCTTGGTTCGAACGGCAGGGACACTGGTTTTATTTCATAATTTATTATTTTTTTCAAATAAAAGCCATTTCAAAGTGTAATATCGTATAGTATACGTGTTAGTTCAGTTGAAATATATATAAAAAATGTATATATAAAGCACCTCTTCAATACAATGGTTTTCATGTAAAATTTCGAGGTAAATTTGTTTTTTTTTCTATCGTGAAAATTTTTAGGTATCGTGTTTTCACACCGTGTGGTAAAATCGGTGTATATCCTCTATTTTGCTATATATTTTTTCCAAAGTCATTGATTCAACACTTTCATTGTTATGCGGATTCAACCCAAGCCATTTGAGATTGTATAGACTCTTAAGTACGGTCTTTAAACCCCTCTCATGAAAATCCATCAAGGGTGCGAATTGTAGTGACTTATTGTACTATGTATTATGTAAGTTATAAAGTAAACGCCATATTAGAAGTGTGGATTCTTTACATTGTTTTGTAATATCATATCGAGCCATGACCGCCAACTTAACGTACTTAAGTGATGTTTTTTTATACCTAACAACGTTTTTTATTGCAAATTTTATTTTGAACTATAACGGACAAGGACGCTTCGACATTTTCCCGCCAAAATAGATAGATGAATAGAAATTATAGCAAAAGTTAAGTTTATTGTTAGCTCAACCGTTTTTTTAAATATTTTAGTGTAACCAACAGAATTAATAATAAGAAATCATAACGTAAGTGACCCCACTTGTTATCGCAACCGACATGGTATCATGGCGACGCGTCATGTTTTTCGCCTATAGCATATTCATCTCTATTTTCCCATTAGTAAAGTATAAATTTGTGTTATGCACACGCGTGTCGACGCGCGACGCTTCGACTCTGCGCCAGTGTGAGTTGAACCTTAGTCGGCGGCAATGGCTCACGTTCTGAAAACTTGTAATTTTGCAGATGTGGCCTAATAAGGCCACACTAGTTAGTTAGGCACCTGCAATGCTATCTTCTTTGTTGTGTTTTAATTGGCACGACATTTCATTACAAGATAGGTAAACTTTCCTGACATTTCACTAATTCACCAATAATCCACATTTATCAAAGGTTTAGCGAGTAACATCGTAAGTCTTTATAACAACCTTTGTTTTATCATAAAATTTATTATCTTTATCAAATTATTATCATGCAACGTCATTAGTCATAGATACCTACTTCTACATAATTTTAATGGTTTTTAAGAAATTATTAAGTATTATTGCAGAACAGGGTTGACATTGAGGCCGTTTGAAAGACCGTTCTGATATTATGTTATGAAGAAACATATCTAATGTTATTTTACTTTTGACACTTGTGACAATCCAATGCCACATGTGGTCATACGCCTAAATTGTTTTTATTACATGAAAGTCTTGTATATGTCACAACCGTATTCTACAAAGCGCCGTGTTACATAACGGCTAGCCGGTTTGCAGTACGGCGCCGTTTTCTAACATGGCTATCTTGTGTTTGGCCGGATTGCAACTCGCCCTTAAAAAATACACCGCATTGGCGTTTAGAAACAGCCAAATACAGTCGCCAGTAGCGTCGCATTATCGTAACAACAAAAATAATCATCACATGATCACAATCCGGCTGAACACGAGGTAGCCGTATTAGAAAACAGCGCCGTATTGAAAACCGTAATGTAATGCAGCGCTTTATACAATGTGGCTTCGACATAATATATAAAATATGTAATACGAACTACGTGAAGAAAATTATGTATATGTGAAATTTTATAACTGTTATTTAAGTTATCGACTAATTTTGTTTGTAGAATCTTTAAACCCTCTCCTGAAAAGTTGTCATTTTGCTAAAGTGGCCTTATTACACCAAAGGTGCGAATTCTAGTGACTTTATTTATTATGCCATGTATTGTTATTACTTATAAAATAAAGGCCGTAATAGACGTATACACTGGACTTTATCTGTAAAATGTTTTGTAGCATCATGTAATGCCTTTGTGAAGCGATTGTCTTTCCAAAATTATTTAACTGCCTCCATAGCCGAACGGTTATCATGCCGGACTGCCTCGCAGAGGTCCCAGGTTCGATTCCCGGGCCTGGAGAAATATTTGTATGGCCTACATTTATTTCTGTCGTGAGTTTGGGTGTAATTTGTGGTTGTCTATGTGTGTGTCCATGGCACCCGCGACACAGGGTTTCCCTAGTGCGGAGCTATGTTGAGTGTGTGCGTTATTATTATTATTTATATAAAATATATATATTTTTTGTTTTGTTTTTGGTAGTCGCTCTAAAGTGCATACTGAGAAAGAACAATCGTGTTTTATTAACAATTTTCTTATATGTTTGAATAAATCCGATTTATCTGTACTTGTTTCACCCAACTAATTTATTAATTTGCGAATGAATGCTTCGTAATATGGGTAGCCCGCACTGTTCATGAAAATCTGTGCAATAAACGCCATCTAGTAGATTTGTTTGTTATCACTAGAAATAAGAGTAGCTGTGATAAATTGCAGCTTGTCAATGTAAAACAAATTAGTCGCGACATCTGGTGTAAACAATAGGTACTAAATACCCGACTAAGCTGACTAGCAATCCTCTTGACGTATTGGTTCATGGGCTACCGTGGCTTAATTGCCGTCAGTGTACGTTTTCATGTAGGGAGGCCGTAGGATCCCTTGCCGTACCATTTTTAGTAGCAGTAGACCTCCTTGTGAAAGAGTTCGTCCAGGGAAGTACTGCCACCTTACGTATTTCTAATGTGAACATTACTGCGTTCCGGTTTCGAAGGGTAACAGTGCTGGTGAAATGACAGGCGAATGGGACAGCGGCAGTGCCCCTCAGATCTTTGTGATTTAAAGCACCGAGTGTCATTTACCACCAGCCACACGACCTGTTCGTCCCGTGACTTAGTATTATTATAAACAAAAAAATAATATTGATGTGATATTGACGCATTTAGGATGTGTGTGTTGCGTGTGTTAGAAACATCATATTTGTGTCTACTAATTACTAGATTCTATTATAAAGATGTTAAACTTCTATGAAATTCAAAAGCATAATTTTAGTAAACCAAATTTATTTCCATTAGAGGGTAGTACAAAATTAGATGTACATACTAAACATTGTTTTCGAACTAATTTTAAAAACAAAATGAAAAGCAGTACTTTCAAAAACATGACTCAGTTTTAATTTATAAAGTTGGTACAAAACAATAATGTTTGTAATTTAGTTGTAGTAAAAAAATAATTTGAGAAACATAATAATTAAAGTAAAAGTAATAGCACTTCTAAAAAGATGGACTTAACGTACTAGTTAATATAGAATTAAGGCTGTACTAGTAAAAAGAAATTAATTTAAATGGACAAGTTAAAACAACAATTACTTATAAAGGATTGCAATACTAATCACACATTTAGGTACATAAACTATGCCAAAGCGTAGTAGCAATAATAAAACACAGACATTCCTGCAGAAATCCTTTGTAGCGCAACGCATAATGACGCACTACTCACTCTACTTATACGAAATTTATTTATTTATTTATTTGGGATAACAACAGCAATAATGATGGGTTACAAAAAATTAATTACATATTACAAAGCCAGTAACAGTTATCCTCGATTTATACATTAAAATAAAAACAGAGCACGGGGTGTCTATAAGCGTGATAAATAATTATACAGATTATATACATACATATAATTGTGAAACAAAATAAGTAAACTAAATACGTACACTTACATACAAACAATACTATACACAATAAAGCCTAATATTAATAAGTATTATACACTATACCCACATATGAATACAACTTAACACTAAATCATAAATACTTCTAACATTATAAAAATATCAAAATATAACTATAAAAGAAATGAATAAATAAATGAGCAAAATAAAATAAATTTAAGTGAACCTACGCATCGCGTTTGAAAATTAATTCTTTAATGTTTGACTGGAAAGAATGCTTTTTATCTACAAAGGGATCAACGTCACAGAAATATTTATTGTAACCAGTAACTAATCTTGTGAGCACAGAGTTCTTGCCGTGGTTTGTGCAGTGAAATGGTACATGAAAAAGAGACGTATGTCTGGTACGACGGGCAGGCACTCGAAAACTTATTTGCTGTAATAAATCTGGACAATCCAAACGACCATTGAGTACATCAAACAAAAGACCCATATCCAACAACTCACGACGCTCCTGGAGACTTAACAAATTGTATGTGCGACAGATATCAACGTAAGGTGAATGAAAATCGGTTAATCTACATTTATTATTCAAATGCTTTAGGAACCTCTTAAGAAATTATAATGTATGTTACAAATAATCTGTCTTCATTTGGTACTGTGAATGTTTTTGGCATCCCACTTCGCCGTACCGGTCATTTGAGAACAGTCCCTCGACGCATGGCACTTGCAGAGAAAAACCCGCGTGTCATCGGACCTACTTACTATGAGCGTTTACCCGCTACTCACAGACTTGAACCGTCTGACGAAATATTTGGGCGCCGGCTGAAAGACCTTTTCTTGAAAAATCCTATATACTCCGTAAAAGAATTTATGGACTTTAAATTGTAACGAATTCAGTATTTTCTATTTTTATTCTAATTTTTACCGCATTAACATACTCTTGTATGGTTGTTATCAACTTATGACGATCCTTGATGGAGAATGATATTTGATATGTATAATTTAATGACAACAATATTATATAATGAATTGTTAATTTTCTAATTATTGTGTGCTTTTCTTATAATTTTCCTTTTTGTCTGACGATCTCAATATA